TTTTAATAAACTTAAAATCATCTTAAAAAAACTAGAGAATAAAAGTGTAGCTTTTGCCCTTACATTGGCGAGACTGTGAAGTGCGAAACCAGAGACGACTTCTCTCGGATCATGAAGATCACGGACCCACCGGAAAATCATGCCAAGACTCGGTGGAGGAGGTGATAGGGGGGTGGCCATGACCGGAGTAGAGGATGATGAAGCACCGGAGGACCAAGTCGGTGTGAGTTGACTGTAGTCTTCGTAGAGAGAATCAGGTAGATTAAGTTCCATTTTTCCGGCGAGGATTGGCCGGAGAAAAATTCTCTTTATGTTTTTGTCTTTGTCTAAGAATTTAACTCAGCTTTTAAGAGGAGAGGAGTGTTGTGGCTGTTGATGAGTGGGAGAAGAACTTATATAGACTAAGCAATGCACGCATGGCTTCAAAAATATAATTGGACGAAAATACCCTCCAATATATTTAACAAAAAAATAAAAAGTTGGAAAGTAATGATCTTTGCAAGGAAATTATGTATGGAAACAAAGTTTATTTTGTTTGTATTGTTGGATTTGGATTAAATTTTCTTTTTTTATTGATCTCTTTAACAACTCTTAAATATGTATTCTGACCAGAAAAAGTAAAGAAAAGAAACTGAAATCCTTGCAACAAAGATATATCTTATCCATTGACAAGTGTAAATTGAGATATTACACTCAACTAAAAGAGCTTTTAATTTATAATTATGCTCATGGTTGGACAGTTTTAGACATGGTTATTATATTTTGGCTTTATATCTAATTATTTATTTGTATTTATGTAGTATAGTAAATTAGGTGTTAGTTTTATTATGTGTGAAAAATATACACTATTATCAGACTATAATCATATTTCTTATTATTAGACTATAATAATATTTCTTACGAAAAGTATTTATTTTTATTTGTTGAAAAATATATATATTTCATTTAATGTATGTTTTCTCTCTTTATAAACTTATAGAAGAATTATCGGACCTTCGTTTATAACATGCATAGAAATTTAAAATGTCTAATAAGCAATATAAGAAAATCGAAATTAAGGATATATACTTTTCTTTTCGTACCATTCAGTTGATAACTTTTTTTTTTTTGGATTGCCGATTCAGTCGATAACTTGTTTACAACATTAACGACGTGATGTGCATAGCGAATCTTGAAAACTTCAAAGTGACGCACGAAACGCTTTTCTGCTCAACATTTTGACCTATTGTATATGCCGAAACATGGAACCAAACTAACATAGTAATCAAGAAAAGAAGAACCAAACTAATAACATGCCCAAAAAAGACATGCAATTAGTTGTCCGAGTTGACAGACACTTGGACTAGATTGCAAGAATTTACTTCAGCTCAAAACTAGATGGAGTTGGAAGCACAATGCAAAAGATGCATAATTTTAACCAATGAAATATTTTATTGCATAAAAACATTATTAATTCAGACATTGTCATGATAAACTTATTTTAGTTGCACAACAAACCCATACCACGATTTCTCATAGAGAAAACAACAAACAAAACAGCTAAAAAGGCACCTTTATAGAAAATAGACAATGGGATACCATATCTTCCTTCTCAAACAAACCCTTTAGAAATGGAAGAAACAACATAGCTACCAACATACATCCACAAGCCTCTTCTAAACACAAACTACCTCCTCCCTCACTACGACTCCACAATCGTAGGCCTACCAGAAAATCGGTTAAAGCGGCTAGATTCACCAACAGAATAAATATGCCGGGCAAGAAAAAAAGCAAGCCATTGATTTCAAATTTTCCCGAGTATGGGTTTAGGCCGTCATCTTCTTGTTGACATCCTGACTTAGTCCCGGGTATAGCCTTTTTACTGACTATGAACACGGTTTTCGAGATTCCAAGAAGCTTGAGTGCGACATCAAAGATGCTAGATAACGAAGCACAAATGGGGACATTCAATAGTTGTACGGAAACCCCAAGGCTCATAAATTCCCATAGAATGTAAAGACAAGGCATCCCCACAAATATGATCAAATTTGTACCTAAACAAAGTACCTAAAGCAACGCACACAAATATTAAAGCATTCATTTTTTTCCCAT